GCCTATGGAGGTGGGGGACAAGACGTTGATGGGAGGGGCTTGCCTTGACTTGTCCAAAGGGCAGAGAACCTTCTAGAAGAAGCAAGGCTCAAGGTGAGAGGCATAGGTTAGAAGGATCTAAAGGGGAGAGAGAGAGAGGACCCTGAGGGTATAAAATAAGAGGGAGAAAGCAGAATGAGGGAGGACTGGTTACAACAGACAGCTGCAAAAGATGAGCAGGAGGAAGGAGAGGATGATGACAGGGAGACCTGGGATGGAAGCACTGGAGTGGCACCAGCTTGAACTGTCTAAAATAGTTCTGCAGTCTTAGTGTTTCAGCTAGCTGAGGGAAGCCATACCTAAAAGATGGCACCAGCAACCTCAGACTGATCCCACCGCAATGAGTCCTACTCTGACACATCTATGATGGTAGAGGAATCAGAGATAGCTTAATTGCCTCTGACAACTGGACGCTCTTCCATCTTCCTCTTCTAGCAAAGGGCGGTAGTAGGAACAGTTTTTAAGTGTTTAGAGAGTCATAAACAAGGATGAAATAACTGTTTTCCATCTTTGGATATAAAATCTGTGCAGACTGAGGCTGACTCAAGTGTACTCTAAGAAGATTTAAGAGATTAGAATAGTGCCTAATGACTTTGTGGGTTTGTCTAATAAAGTTGGTTTAAAAAGAAGTATCAACCCCAACCCTTATATCTGGCCCTGTGGGTCCCTTTGACACTCCCTCCCTTTGGCAGACTTGGGGGCATGCACAGGAACAGTGAATTGTTATTTTTGCTGTACCACACTAAAATGGCCGCTTCTCTGGAACTGATTGTGTGAGCTTATGTGTGCTAAATTATACGTGGGAGTGTGGACAAATATTAGATTACCACTCAGATTAGCACTTCACTTGAACAGGCCCATCCATCTACATGCCAATCTTTGATCATATGAATACTCTTAATCCAGTCAGACTCAGCTGCTTTAGTTTTTCTAAGGTGTATTTTGAAGGGCTCCCCCCCCTTTTTTTTTCTGTTTCTGAACCAGCCACATGAGGCAGAACTGGTTGATATTGAGTATACCTACCTGGCATCTCAGTGTTGAAGATTCATGTCAGGTTATTGACCAACACTGCTGTAAGCATCTGGGTAACAGTAATTTTCATCAAGGTTGCTGGGCTGGGAGAGGCTTTAATCTCGCCCTATCCCAGTGATCCTATGGTGCCACCTCCCCTTCAGAGCTTCTTTCAACCTGTCATGCTGAGGGTTGACCTTCAGTGTTTTGCAAACAAAAGTGAGAAACTGACAGTGCTTTCTCTTATATTTGATAATAGAATCAATAGAGGTGGGTGGGGCTGATCCTTTGACTGAAGATCACTGGGAACCTCATGTCACTATATGTTGTAAGTGTCATAAGTCATTTATTTACTGAGTCCTGTCCTGCAGTGGCTAAATTGCAATACTGCAGTCCAGCCTCTGTTCATGGCATGAGTTTGATCTTGAGGTATTCATGTAGCCAGCTCAAGGCTGACTCAGCTTTCCATCCTTCTGAGGCTGTAAAATGAGTAGTCAGCTCACTGGGGTGGGGTGGGTGTAAGTTTTTTGCATAAATCTGTTGTAAACTGTCCAGAGAGTCCTCTAGTATGGAGAGGAATATAAGTTCAACACATTTTTAACAACTGCCACTGATGTTACAGCATTAAGAGTAAACATCTTTTTACACTTGAGCTTAGGCAAAACCAAATTCTGGTTTTTATTCAGATTTCATAACTCTTTCACCTTCTAATATTAAATATATTTTTAAGAATAAGGTTTTGCTTTACTTCTGTTGTCTGAAAACAATGGTGACTAATATTCTTGTTATGCTAACCACATAAGAGAAGAAGAGGAAGGTAGGAAGAGAAAATGTACTTTTGAGTTCTTCAGAAGTCTTCATTCTGTTGTGCCTTGTGAAATTTGGGTGGGGCTGGGGATAGAAAAGTTCAAAATTCATCCTGGCCAGATGGAGTAACTACGAGAGCTGTTAAAATACTGTACATGCATTCTGAAATGGAGTGCATGTTCTGAGAGCCAGCTTCAGCTGTGGTTTTATTAATCTGTACCTCAAAACACACACACACACCAACAACAACAAATACAGAATAAATGCCAGTCCAAACACACAGTCTTGTATCAGTATGGAATAGAAATACAAAGGAATGAAACAATCAATCTCATCTCAATAAAGCTAGAGATTAAATTTATGTGATGCTCTAGGCAAAGCTCATTAGTGGCCTTTCTAATTATTAATTTGGAACTAAACAGCACTTAGGACCATTTCTGGAGTGCCACTGTGGTGTAATGGATATGGTGTCAGAGTAAGACTCAGGAGACTTGGGTTCAAAATCCTGTCTGCCATGACAACTCACAGGGGTGCATGTGACATCGGTTAAATTGTAAATATCGGACATACCTTGAAACTCCTACTAGTGTCATCAAAAGTCAGATGTGACTTGATTGTTTATGTCAACAGGATCATTTCTAATTCTTTATTCATGTCTCTCCCCCACCCCAGCTCCATCCAAGTTAACAAACATTATGCATAGGATGTATTGGTTTGTTCAGCTTTGTAGAAGTGGAAAGCAGCTGTTGTAACTGGCAATGAGAAGAGTCGATGTACGAGGCACTTGTGTTTTAGGATGGGGCAATGCCACTTTGCATACACAGCACCTGCCAGACTTCTTTCCCTAAAATAAACATCAAGGCAATTCTGGTCTTCTTCCCATCTGATCACAGTGTACCTACGGATGGTTTCTAGGGTTACCTAGAGTTACCTTCCCTGCCATACCAAAGTTATTGCCCCTGGCTCTAATTGGTAGATCCTGGAATTTTATAGGGGGAAAGAAACCCAGCCCCAACTAGCCTGCCATCTGCCTGACATGCCTCGTAGACAAAAACAGGATTCAATTTGATCTTGAAAGGATGGAGAAGGAAGCCAAAACTGGCAAAATGGATTTCAACAACAATTGCAATGTTCTCCATTTAGGTAAAAAGAATCAGCTGGACAAGTGCAGAATGGATGACATCTGACTTGACCGTAGTACATGCAAAATGGCTGCATGAGTATTGTCATATCAAAAGGCTTGGGTGCAAGGCAATGGCCAAAATGGCTAATTTGGCCCCAACTGCAAGAAGGGATGGCACAGCTGTAACTACTAGTTTTGAAACCCATCATACACTACACTATTAGTTAAGCTTTGACTGCGTACATGAGATTCACATATGTGAAGAGAGGAAGGAGCAGAAAGGAGTGGAAAACTGGGTCTGAGTCTGTGAATATTGGTTACAGTATGTGATGAGCCCACCTGTTTTGCAAAAATTAAGAAAGGGTCTTGCACAAATGCAAGAGTAGGTGATACCTTTACTAGACTACTAAAAACTGAACAAACAGTGAGCTTTCATGGATCAAGGGCACTTCTTCAGGCCATGTATGGTATTTCAGAAAAAACATGGATGTGAGTTCCAAAAACATATGGCAAGTGACTGTGCCAGGTCTGTTTCTTAGAAACGTGTGGAAAAGCTGAGATGAATTGGTGATTCCACTTCATTCTGCTTCGTTCAGATGGCACCTTGAATTCTGCCCAGTGTTAAACAGTACAGTATACCTTAAGGAGGATACTGAAAAACTGGAATTTCTCTATAGCAGGGTGATCGGGATGGCGAGAAGCCTAGGTATAGCTTTAGGAGGAAAGGTGGGAGGTGGATATGTGAAGTCTGGAGAAGTGATGATCAACTATTTGAAAAGCTGTCATGTAGATAATGTGCTGGACTGATCAGAAAAGGGTTCAGACTGAGTATCAGGAAGGATGTTACTATAGTACAAGCTGGCCAAAAGGGGAACAGATGGCCTCAGATGTTGGTGGTCTCTCTATTAGAAGTTTGTAAGCACAGACTGTGCAGGATAATCCAGGAGATCTGAATTATGGCTTTCCTGCATTGGCAAGGGATTAGATGCTGTCTGAGGTTCATCTCCAACTCTATGATTCCATTATTAACGTAATCTTATGGAAAAGTAGACATGTCCTACCAATATACAGGTGTGGATAAGTACCAGATCCAGACAAGAACAGAAAAAATCATATCAAAGGGATTGTAATCCACTGCCACCTAGTGAGAGATCATTATTTCTTGCAGTAACATTTTGCCACTCCTGGAGTCTTCGGAGCCCAAGTCCTATGCTGTTGAAACGTTACTGTTGTTGCTCTTGTTATTTAGTATAACAGTTTTCGGATCTGGCAACACCATAAAGGCTAAGACATTTACGCTACATTTGGTGCTGGTGGTCGTTTTCTGTCATTACAACCAGCTGATCTAACTGACCCAACCGGCTACCTCCCTTGAACTCTCAGCTTTGTTACAGAGTGTTGTTGTAGGGCATGCTGTGGGAAATAATTATAGTGTGAAACTAAACAAAAAGAAACATGTTCCGTGGAAGCTTTCGCGGACATGGTGAGGTGGGTTGGGCTGGCAAGCCACTTCCTTAGAATTCGTTGCATAGAGCAATCCGGTTGCAGATTTGTTTACATCACTGGTTCTGAGTTACTCAGGAGTTTTGGACTGCAACTCCCAGAAGCCTTCACCATCAGCTCTGCTGGCTAGGGTTTCTGGGAGTTGCAGTTCAAATGCATCCGAGTAACAAAGGTTAAGAACCACTAGTTTACATGGACGGGAAACTGTGGACTGGGATTAAGCAGAATACAGAGAGGATAATCCTATCATCGTTGCCATCATCATTGGCGGTGGTGAACACGAATAACACTGGGAATGAGCATTCCTGAAACACCTGCAGTCTTAGAGGGAAGGGAGACCTGAACCTGCCCCAGAGGCCCCCTCCGGAGGGTGTCCGCCGCTCCCTAGCTCGGAGTGAGATGGGGAAGAAGGCAGGACGGCTCAGATCCAGACTGGGAGGGTTGCTGAGGACTGGAGAAGAGGCGGAGGCGGCCGAGGAGGTGGGGCTTGGCTCTCGCAGGGACCGTAATAAAAGCAAGATGGGTCCCGGCAGATCGAGATCCAAGTCTCTCCTGGCAGTCAGAAGAAGCGCCCAAGAGCCCGCAGGATGGAGATGTACACCAAGGCAGAGACCCTGGAGCTGCGGAGGAAGCACATCGGGTGAGCCGCCGGGGCGCCAAAGGGAAAGCCGGGGATCTGGGGAAGGGGCGAGGAGGGTCGCCTGAAGTCGGGAGCCCCGCTTGCGTCCGGGCTGCGCGGCCGCTCCTCTTGCTCACTTCCATCCTCTGCGCAGCGCAACGCGAGCGAGCGCTTCCAGAGAGGCTGAGGCTGCGCTCGCTCGCTGGCTGGCTGGCTGGTGGGATTACTGGGTTGCATGCGGCAGCTGGGGCGGGCGCGTTGATGGTGGGAACCGGATCCATCCTTGGCAAGCTAAGTTGAGAGCTGAACGGGGAGCCAGCCCACCCTCTCGCCTGCTTTGAATTACTTTACAACGATCTTGTGAGGGCTTCTCGGAGGTGTCAATTTTCTGAAATAAAAGATGGATGTCCTGTGGTTATGGTCGGGCTCAAGGACGCCGGCCCCTGCCTCTTTCCTACACTTCTAGGTCACATCTTTCAAAGATATCTGTTCAAATGTCGCTCTCTTTCTCTCTGTGCTAGTACCAAAATATCATATTTTCCTCAAAAGCTCCACATTTGATCCTTTAAACCATCTTATAGGTATACTAACTTTTTTACCATAAAAAAGGGGTTGTTTTTATTCTTATTTAATAGGGCATGATCTAAAATTTCTTGAATTTATTTGTTAAGCATTTGCTTGTGCTTCTCGTATTGAAATCCACAGGATATGCAACATGTTTATTTGGCGGTTCTTCTAAATTCAGTAGGACAGACTATGCTGTTCTGTTTGTTTTATTTCCAAAGTAAGCGGTGAGGAATGTTTAGTCCCACTTCAGTTTGCATAAATTTTGCACCTTCAGAAGTCTTTGAGCTTGAGTAGACCGTGCCCTTATTTTTGTTTTGTTTAAGAACTCCAATAGTTATAACCTTGTTAATCACTACTTTATAAAGAGCTTTTTTATATTAAATAACAAGAAAACTTTTCAAGTAAAGCTTTCATAGAAATGACCAGAAGCCCCTCATGCCTTCAATGGTACTTGCCAACTCCTCTTGGCTTCAATTGATCAATTGAAGTCTTCTCAGTAAAGATAATTATTCATTTCTCTGAAGGTTTTCCTCTAGAGATAGGGCACACGCTTGAATAATACAGGCCCATCTGGCAGCCTTCCTATCCTCCCTTGTTGTGCATAGGACATCCATGCCCTTACCTAACCCCGGCAGAAATAGTCTGATTAACAGCAAGTGGGTGGCTCAAGGTTTGACCTTCCAGAGGGAATTTCAGCAAGCGGAGTCAATATGAGCAGAGCGGACTGTCTTGTGAGTAGTATTAGGTGAGCTAATGTTAGAGGCTAGCATCTGCATGTCAGCATGTAAGATTGTATAACAACCCACCGATGACTCTACTCCAAGTCCTTGCATAACCAGCAACTGTTGAGTGTTATGTAAAAGTGGGCCTCTGTTACCGCCCTCCACAGAGAAGAAAAGTTCTGCACAAGCTCTGAGAATGACTGTTACTGCAGTTTTCAATACAATAAGTTAGCCGGGCTCTGCTTTGTTTCAAAGGAGACCTAACTGGCTGAAAACACAAGAGGCTAGAGCTTAGAGTCTTTTGCGATGGGGTGTTTTTTAAAATGTTCAGGAGCAAAGTTTATGTTGCATTCTGCTTTTTTCCCTTCCATGCATATGGGTTGGTGGAAAAGAGCACCCTCCACCATTAACACCTGTCACGGGGAGAGATCTCTTTTATTAAAGTGAAAATTGCAAATGGGGTTGCAATATAGTATTACTATATGATAACTTCTTGATTAATATTTCCCAACCTTTGCTGACTGGGTTGTTTATAGGAAAGGAATGTCCTCAGACTATTCCCCACAGAATTTTGGTCTTCCTTCATATGTTATCAACCCCTTTGTATTGGGCAGGGGGGAATGTCCAAGGATTGGCCAATATGTTAGATGGAAATCTTGTCCTGAGTAGAGGGTGAAGGAAAGTTTCTGCATTTCAGATCAAGAGTGCCAAGATCTAGGCTGGACTGATTTGTGCATGAACTGTATTGCACTCTGCCTTTTCATGTGATGACTTATCACTCGGGGCCTTGCAGCTGAACCTACAAGCTGCTTCAGCAGAATCATTTGGGTTGAAGTGATGTCAGATGATCTGGAACAGCTCTTTCAGAAATCATTTCCCCAAGATAGCTTACACTACAATCCCCATCATCCACAGATGGCAGGGCATGGTGGAAGTTGTCATCCAACACACCAGGGAAAGAGGGACCAATCTGAGAAAGGCTGATCCAGAAACTCAGAATGTTTTGTCCTGTGGCATCTGTCCCACACAGGGACATTCTCTGCTGATGCTGTAGCCCTTGAGGGACAGATGTGCTTCACCAACGTTTAGCTTTATTTACTTTGGGGGGGCATGACATTTCTGGATCTATTGCTAATGAAATCTTGCTGCAACAATACTTGAGGACCTCTGCTAGACAGGAATGGGTGCACAGCATGTCATTGTACCTACGTACAATGTCTGAGAACTATTGTTGAATAACCCTGAACTAAAACAATATGGTTTCCATCTTTTTCAGACCTTCATGCAAGGTGTTCTTTCCAAAGGACCCCATTAAGATTGTGAGAGCTCAGGGGCAGTATATGTTTGACGAGAATGGAGAAAAATACTTGGACTGCGTTAACAATGTAGCACATGGTAAAAACCATAGTTTAATGTGTGAGATGGTGATGTCTGGATAGCTCCCATTTATTTTGGGTGTTTAAGTGGGGGTGTATTTTCAGATTCTCTTTGCAGGATTCATTGCCTAATATTGTACTGTTCCTTTCCTTATGTGGCCCTGTACAGTTGGACACTGCCATCCAGACGTGATCAAGGCTGCAGTGAAACAAATGGAGCTCCTCAACACCAATTCTCGATTTCTGCATGACAGTCTAGTCCAGTATGCCAAACGCCTCACTGCTACCCTTCCAGAGCAGCTCTCCGTTTGCTATTTTGTGAATTCTGGGTATGTCTGAAGGACTTTTCATTAAAATGCTCTTTCGGAATCTTCTATGAATTCATTTCCTCTTCCAACTAGTGATGGGCACAAACCACCGGATCAGCAGTTTGTGCTTGTTCATTTACTAACCAGGAACAGGTGTTCTGGTGGTTCAGCGCCCTGCCCCCTCTGGCAGGTGCCCACTCAGAAGCAGCACCTGGAGGAGGTGGAGCAGGGAAGCTGGGATTGCTGCCTCTCAGTGGGCACCCATCGAAAATGGTGGGGCATTGAACTGCAGAATACCTGTGGGGCAGGTTAGTCTGAGGGAAGGCATTTGATATACCATATTTTTCTGTGTATAAGATGCCCCCTGTATAATACGTCCCCCCCCCATTTTTCTAACTCAAAAGTAAGAAATCTAAGTGGGACTTAGCATGTGTAGGGGGGAAAGGGATTAAAGCAGTGCAGAATCGCTTTGATCCCTGCTTTCCCTTCCACTTGTTTTTCTTCTCTCCTCAGCTTACTTCATGTATAAGATGACCCTCAATTTTTATTCTAAAGATTTTATACAAAAGTATAGTCTTTTACACAGAAAAATACAGTACATTTAAACTTGAACATACAAATAGCCCAGTCTTAGTTGAGTGCTGTAACTGCTATGCTATGCTGCACATTCCTTAATCTGAAACTCTTTGCACTATGGTTATGCATTATTTTACTGGTGGAAAGTGCCAGGTAAGTAGTTTTGGATTACTGCAGCTTTAGCAGATAATTGTCATCATCATGCAATTGAAATCTGGTCAGAAATGCTAATACCAGAGCTGTCAACCAGATTAGAACACGATTCAATCCCAAATGGAAACTTAGATGAGAGCAGGATTTTTGCTTGGCGTTGAAACCAGAGTTGCTTCAGATGTGTGGATGTCCATCCGTACACACATAGCTCACATGTAAAGAACTAGCCATTACAACTACATACCGGTATATGCATATGCTGATTGTATGTCCATTACACTCCTGAACTGGGCAGAAAATAGAAACTGTCATTATCTCAGACGTTGATATGTTTCCAGTCTTGCTGGGTGTCAAGGAAAATGTAGGGATACTCAGAGTCGTGGGTGTGACCCAATGGCCCCTGGATGTGGGAGTTTCCCATTTCATTTTTGAAGAGATGGCCTAATGAATTACAGGGAGGTTTCTCTGCTAATAGAAAGAAATGGAGGGCTCCCTGTGGGCAGAGAGCTCACTAAATGCCTGGTAGGCTTCATCCATTGAACTGATCCAGAGAAAATGGGAGAAGCAGAAGTCTGCATGTTGCCATAGATTACAATCTTTTGTAATTTGTAATTCCAAAAATAGATTGCTCTTCCTGATCTATTCAACTATTACAATCGAGAAGGAGATTCAGGGTATTGAAAGCAAAGACAAGCAGATTCACGAACAGCTTCTACCCAAGTGCAGTATTGAGTTTAAATATGGGGTCATAAGTTTTTGGTGGAATTTTAATTGCTGGGAGAAACGGGGTATCTATATTTGTATGGTGAGTGTTGTGTATATTTTAACTTTTTTTGTAGTGGTGTTGTCCAGTTTTACCTTGGGGAAGAGCACCTCATTTCGTTGCACCCACTTGTGAGTGCAATGATAAATAAATTTCTTATGTCTTATGTCTTATCATGCAACCTTGTTGCTACCATAATCAGGATATGAATAGGATAACCAAGACATTTCAAACCTACTGTCTGCTAATTGTGTTTGACTATAACTCCCATCATTTTCAGTCAGCTTCTCAGAGTGGCATGCTGCAGACATGTTGGACTACATCTTTCATTATCCTCAGCTAGTCTCTACAATCAGCATCTTTTGATGCTGGATTAAATCTCACCAGCCTAACCATAATAATATATTATTTCACTCCCTCTTTCTGGTTTCCTGCAGGTCTGAAGCAAATGATCTTGCTTTGCGCCTGGCTCGGCAGTACAGTGGCCACCAAGATGTGATTACCCTTGACCAGTAAGTAGATGTAGCTGCTGTGTCCTCATTGCTTTCACCCCTGGGCAGGGATTTGTGAAAGAAGGGGCGGTGCCTGTCATGATATGGATTAGAGAGTACAGAAAAACAGTGGATTTCCCCTATTGCTGAGGGGAAATGAGTTTAAATACTTCTCACCTTGCTTCTCCCTGTTCGAACTGCTGGGTTCTTTACATTCCACTGTGTGAAGAAAGATTTCGACAGACAGGTTTGTTTTGAGAATAATCAGTGACGTAAAGAATGAGGAGTTAGCTGGGCATTTCTGCAAGGGATGGCTGCTGTCTTTTTGCTAAGGCAGTGAACTCAGAGGACTAAATATATACAGTATAAAGTGGTGGCTCATAATCTGAGTGGATGGGACCACATCCTGTTGGTGGAGAAGATTCCTTCCTCAGTCCACAGGCTGTTCATGTGTTTGTATGTGTGTATATGTGTATATATGATCCCACTGTGGATTATATTTGTGGGCTTGTTTGACTTTTTGAAGTGTGTGTTTCAGCACGCATTTCCATATAAAGACTTATCTTTAGGGTTATGCTGGTGCTGCCATGCTCGTACCACCTTCCCTTCTACCTACAATACTCAGAGGTTTCTGACAACTGTCTCTAGAGGATTTCCAGCCATCTGGAGCAGTTCTGGGAGATGTACAGGATGGCTACTGTCAAAAGGAGATTATTACTGCAGCTTGAGCGGGAGTCTACTGCTTTGCCAGTGGCAGTCCAGTGCTAGATCTTGCCCATTGTTGTAATTATGTTTGCAATATTCATTTAAAAAAATCTGTTGGGTCCATATACATATTGCAGAACAGATGGATGAGAACAGTTTGTTCAGTACAGGATAGAGGGATAATATGCATCTGTTGGTATTGTTGTTACATACAATGAACCCTGTACATGGAAGTTCTGATATAGGCCGTTTATTTTTTATTTCAGTGCTTATCATGGCCATGTTACCTCCTTGATTGACATCAGTCCATATAAGTTTAATCAACTGGGAAAAGATAGCAAAAAAGAATTTGTGCATGTGGTGAGTATGTATTATGCTAATTTTGTATTAATCATCCCACCCTGCCTCAGTAGATGTCCTTGAGTGTATTTCTGTTACACAGATAAAATCAAGGTGAACCAAGATGAATCAAGTTCTAAAAGAAATGTAGAGATGATACTAGGAAATCATTTCTGAAACCAAAACTTGGAAAAGGAACTTTGTACACCATAGTTCCCAGAACCCATGTCATGCTGGTTGGAAGGTTCTGGGAACTATATCCCAGAAGAACATCTTTCCTAAGCATTAGTTTTAGAAATGGTTTCTCAGAGTCACAAACTATATCCCAGAAAAACATCTTTCTTAGTTTTAGAAATGGTTTCTCAGAGTCACTTTTGGACTACAGATCCCAGAATCCATGCCAAGGTGGTTGCTCCAGAGGAATACATTTCTCAAGCATGAACGCTGCTAGGGCATTGGTCTGCATGACAGCTGTTGGGTTGAATCTCTTCCAAGTTGGCCTAAATGCATATTTGTCACTGTTTCCTGGCCAGCCTGGAGTCACTCCAGAGTTGCCATGGCTGTGGAAAACAATACTAACATCGTATAGTAATTGTGAAAGATGTCTACTTCAAAACATTTTCGAGATGCCTGTTCTGCCCTCCTTCTCAAGAATAAAAATCTATGGGTAGGTGTGTCCTCAAAAAGTTTTGTGTCCTTTAAAAAGTTTTTAATAGAGGCTGAAGGATACGGTTTTCAAGATGATTTGTACATGGATACAGATATTTTGGATTGAAATATATATGCAATACCAGTAATCAGTTATATAATGCATGGCTAGGATGTCTTTTAAAAAGGAAAACTGCCGTTATTGCAAATATAGATTAGTAGTATTTTTTTAAAATACACATCTGTACCTAATGATAAATAATCTCTTAAAACATGGTCCTTACTAAAAATAATTAAACATTATTGAGAGAGGAGCTATCGTATTTTTCCAAGAGCTGAACAGATTGCTAAGAATAGGACGCTTTGGAGGTCATCATTCCATAAAGCTGCCATTATGTCAGATGCAATTTAATGGCACATAGCAATAACAACAGATCTAGCATAGAAAATTGGAATGTTCATATCAAATTAGGAGGTGGAATTTCCAGCTACTGTGGAATATATACCAGAGTACACTTCTGAATGCCATATACTGCTTGTGAGTCTTCCAACAGAATTTAAGTATACATTGTTGAAGACAGATCTTAGACTAGATGGGATGGGGGTGTATGTCTTCTAGATTTTCTACACCACTTCCCTGAAAAACAGAAACATTAATGCTTCCAGCCCTATTACCACACACTTTCTTGGATCCAGACTTATAGAGTTCCCACCAAAATCACTAAGAATTTAGACACAGATAACTTAAATCTCATTGATATTAATTAATATTCACTCAGCATTTAAAAAATCTGGATCCAGCTTGTTAAATCCTGGAAATATAAGATCTTTTGCTCCCTATGAATCCTGTTTCATAGTTATGCAAATAGCATAACTTTTAGTGATGAAGTGCTATAGGTTAACAAATCTCCATAGACAGTATCTGTTGTATACAGAGTTGTGTGACTTGGGTTGCAACAGATAATGCCCATGGAGATTTCTTAAGTTATGGCAATTTGTTGCTAAAAGGTTAAGCCTTTTGCGTAACTGTGCAACAGGATTTTGGCCATAGTTTATTATTATTAATATGCTACAGGAAAATGTCAAGAGAGATTCAGTTCATCTTATATGCAACTGGTGCACAGATACACACTACAGATAATTACGTTGTTTCTGTGGGCAGCAGCCATGAATTATCCAATTAAACATGAATATTTAAAAGATATGAAAAAAAATTGTATTACATTTTAGGCTCCTTCACCAGATACTTACAGAGGAAAGTACAGAGAGGACCATCCTGATCCAGGAAGTGCTTACGCAGATGATGTGACAAAGATTATTGAAGAAGCCCATAAGAACGGCCGCAAGGTAGGTCAATTTTAAAGAACACCGAAGTCCTGTTGAGATGTTTTTTCCTCCCCAGCTGAAAAATGATTATCCTAAACAGGTAAACTGTGATCTCCCCGATCCCTAATTCTATTTTAAGATGCTTCTTCTTCTGCCCCCTACCACTTTAACTCACATTCATAACTTGCAAATAATATCAAAATAAGAAGGATCAACTAAAGAAGAATAAATAGATAAAAGTAGACATCCATTTCTTACTTTAATAGTAAACAATCAGAAACTAGTTTGATTCTGCTCTCCATCAGCATATCAAGGTCCTGTTGACATCCATGGGAGATGTACGTCACTAGTAATAGTTAAAATAGTATTTGTGGACTTTACATCTTTGGACTACAACTCCGAATCCCCTAGCCAACATGAGCCTCAGGATAATGTGAAATGTACAGTAGTAACTTCATCTGAGACTACCCAACAAATTTGCGGAACTACATTCAGAGTTTCATTTTGTTTTCTGTAACAACATTTAAGGTCTACAAATTATTCAACAAATAAAAGTAATTTGGATTATCAAACTGATAAAATTAGGGCATAAACAAGCCCTTGCACATAATGGGAAATTTAATAATTATTGGATTTATGGTGACTGGTAAAAATATGTAAAACAACTAAAATTATCCAAAACTTAAAAGCACAGCATTTTAACCTATGTCAAATTGCTGAATTTGTTTTAAAAATTTACTCACAACACCCATGGATGCTTACGTCTTCAGAAGTGGTGTCACTATTTTCTACCCATTTGCCCTCAACTGTCCCTATGCCCCCTTAAAGTCAAAGGAGTCTACCACCCATCTTGAATTTCTTATTGAGAATTTCCAAAGAAACTAACGGATAGTTTCTATTTTCTTCCCTTTGTCTCTCTTTCTCCCCCCTCTCACATATCTTCATAGGTTTTGGTGCCGTAGACCTGAGCCAGGACAAGTTGATAAAGTTTCACAGACTATGGGGAGTCTTCTTCTGCCTGGCTGTAGTATACCGCTTCGAATATAGTGTACGCTGCTTCTTTAGACGTTATCGCTTCACCTTCTTTCCAGGAAGACGGCCCTGCCCAGCTTGTGTGGACTCTGAGGAGGCTCAGGGAGGGTTGCAGACAAACAGGGTTGGGGGGGCAGTTAAACAGTGGATTTGGGCTGACCCCTCCAGGCAGACGTGGGGGAGAGCAAAAGCATAATTCTGAGTGAAACATGTAAGCTCCACATTCCAATCTTGTCTAAACGTTTGCTCTTGGTTTGAAATAATGTTTATGCTTTGTTTTCAGTCCTAGCAACTGGAGTTACTTCAGCTCTAGGCTCTTTCTTTTGTCAAGTGCCTCATCTTTAGATACTCTGTATAATTTTTTTTCTAAGCAGGAGTGCCTAATTTTTTTTTCCAAAACCCTGAAACCTTTTTAAAACTTGCCATTTTAATACCAGAAAAGGATGAGATCTTCTACCATAGTATGCCATGCAGGATGGAACTGATAAAAAACCCTATATTATATTTTTCTGATGGATACAGAGAATCATTAATAATTGTTAAAAAAAACTCATCAGAAGAATGCACTTTATCATCCATCAAACAACCTGAAAGTAGATATTTCATTCTTTTGTATCTGGCAAAGCAAATACAGTTAAATATAGGTGTGAACTTTGAAAGTCACATCCAACACTTTTAAAATTTGAAGTCAACCATTGGCTTTGGGCTAGTATTGGTAAAAGCTAAACTGGTCGCCCTGGTCCAAAAAAAAAAAAATAAAATTAAAAAAATTGGGCACTCTGGCAATATATTTATTTTTGTTGCTGCTCATAGACATTGAAGATGTAAATTAGTTGCCCATTTTGTTTGTCAGTATGTCTTGCCTGTTTTTATAGGATTCATGCCTGTAACTGTTGGCTCATGTGTGAAAGAATAGGTAGAGGAATGCTCGTCTTATATCATCTTTTCTTACTTAGATTGCTGCCTTTATTGCTGAGTCCATGCAGAGTTGCGGAGGCCAAGTAATTCCACCTGCAGGCTATTTCCAGAAAGTGGCAGAGTATGTATAGTGCTTGGAATGGGTGAATTGTAGCAGGCTACTTAGCAGAGCAAGATGCAGAGTTCATAAGGCAAAGGAAGATTCTGAGAGTGTACTGTATCTACACTACACAATTCTAGCAGGTTGTTGTTGTTGTTGTTGTTGTTGTTTAGTTGTTTAGTCTTGTCTGACTCTTCATGACCACATGGACCAGAGCACAGCAGGCCCTCCTGTCTTCCACTGCCTCCTGGAGTTTGGTCAAATTCATGAATATTTAGCAGTTTTGCTCCACTCTAACTAGAATGGTTCTGTCCTCTGGAATCCTCAGGCATGTGGTTTGGAGATACTTTGAATTCTCTGCTATAGTCCAGAGGAATGCAGCAGAGACCTTAGGCTTAGAATTTGAAGTCCTTCATCAAACTGCAAAGACCAAGATTTTGTAGGATGGAACCATGACAGTTAAAGTGAAATCAAACTGCTATAGCTACATAGTGTAGACACACTCGTAAAGCAGAGGTCAATTCTATTTATGGGAGAATACTTCCTTGTAGCTTTGTTCTTCTAAACCATAAACAACTAAGATGTTTATTATTTATTTATTTAGAATCTTTCTAACCTACCCTGTATCGTGAGAACTCAGGAGGGAATACAATAAGAAAAACTTAAAACAATTCAATCAATTTAAAACATATAACGTTATCTGAAAGAATTTAGAACAATTAGAATAATTTGATAGATATATATGAGTACATATGCTTGATGGTATGTCTTTAGATGTGTCCATTATTTTTTAAAAAAACTGAATTCAGAAGTTAGCAGGGTAGAAGACACATTAGCTGTTGATGGACAGGGAGTTTTTAGATGGAAAAGTATTCAACACTGACACTTTTATTGTATTCTGGAGCAGAACATTCTTGAAGCACATGATTTTTGAGCATTATTTTTAAAAAATCCTATATATGCTTGAAGTAATAAACAATGATAATAGTAAGCCCAACCTAATACATATCTATTCAGAAGTAAGCTTGATTGCATCCAATGGGGCTTTACTCGCAGGTAAATCAGCATAGGATTGTTTGGGTAGGTGATTTTAGATGGATAATATTTTTTAATATATCACTGCCTGAAGTTTTACCAATAGTAAGGATATATGATGTTATTAATTGGAAAGAAGGGGTTGTTTTATCATGTTTTAATGGAATTTTATTATCCTGCCCGAAACAATAACTGTATGTATCTATTTTATGCTGTTTTGGTTTTAGTGGTCTTATACCGTAATAAAGTACTACTACATAGGATTGTACAGTAAATCAATCTAACTGAACAACAAAGTGTACGTAGCTTTGTAAGGGTTTCTATTGCTGTTTCGCTTTTAGCTGTGAAGGTTTTTGTGGCATGTTTCAAGTAATCATGTAATGGTACTTATGTGAGATGTAATCCAACTCTTTTTGAAATCCTGTGAGACGGTGAGGCATCTGGAATGTTCCTTTTCATTTTCAGATCCGTTCACAAAGCAGGTGGTGTTTTCATAGCTGATGAAGTCCAAGTTGGTTTTGGTCGTGTTGCAAAATGTTTCTGGGGATTCCAACTGCAAGGGGAAGACTTTGTGCCGGACATTGTCACAATGGGGAAGCCAATCGGCAATGGCCATCCCATGTCTTGTGTAGTAACAACAAGAGAGATTGCTGAAGCTTTTGGTGCCTCTGGATTGGAATACTTCAACACTGTGAGTGTCTCTTCTAATGTTGTCAGTTAAAGGTTAGACTTTGGGCTGGTTTGCATGTGCCGTGTGACCTGTGATTTAGTTACATGCATGATTGCACAATGACAGATTATTATAGGAAGAACTTCCATATCTCCTAACAGCAGTTCAAACCTTGCTTTTACCTTACCCAATTCACACACTCAGTGAGATTGGAAATTACTGCCCCTGATCCAATTCATATGCATGGCAAGGAGAGCCCACTTTTCCTTTCTGAATTTGAGCACAAGCACTTCAGATATTATGCATGCAGTGTAGATATTATACTTCCAGTAGGGGCATCTGGGATCATCAGGCAGAGCAGGGCTACCAGGTGAGCACAGTGAGCAAGTGTGCTCTCTCTCAAACCTCTTGTATGCATTTAGTGACATGTATCTCCAGTTCAGTGTGATTTGTCCATGTTTTGAGCAATCACATGCCTATGTCAGCTACAGAATAGATCCTCAGGGTACGTTTCTTAATTTGTAAATAAATACTTACAATTTGATAACTGTATCAGGTAAACAATATTGTCACCTGAGAGAGATCCAGAAGAAATCATACTTGGAGTAGCCCCACTGAATTCTGTGAGAGTTGTTAGTTGCAACCATTTTAAGTCAAAATGGTTTCAGTGGGTTTGTTATGATTACCTCTGGGTCCAACAATATGAGCAAACAAAATGGTAGCATCACTCTCCTGAAAGGATATATAACAACAAAAATCATGACATATAACACCATTGTATTATATATTAAGCAAGACTTGTATGTGGTTGACACATAGGCATAGACACACACAGAGAGAAATGTAGAAATAGTTACTATAATTTAATGAGAAATACAGCACATATGACTTTAATCAAGGGTGTTAGCCCTTGATGAGCAATTTCAAGGGCTTTTATCTCCCTTCTTAAAATTTGTTATCTTTAACAGACTTGAGCTGGTCATTCCTTCCTTGCAATCAAGTGCTAATTTGTGTCTTGATCACAATGCCCATGAAATTCTCTGGCTCTAGAGAAGCTTGAAGCAATGGCTTTATTTTCTTTCCCATTCCTCCCATTAGTTTGGTGGCAATCCAGTATCCTGTGCTATTGGTCTGGCTGTTTTGGATATAATAGAAAAAGAGGATCTCCAAGGGAATGCCTCACGTGTTGGAAACTACCTCGTTCAGCTGCTGAAAGAACAAAAGGAAAAGCATCCACTGGTAGGAGATGTTAGGTAAATCCAGTTTCTCGAAGATATAGGTTATATCTTTCGCTAGCCCATTGCTGCTGTTGAAGTAAGATCCAACTGCCAATCCGAACACTTTTGGGACATGGAATGGGAAGGGGCCATTCATCATTTTTTTATTTTGCCTCAGGTGGAAAAATGTCTTGGTGGCCCCCGTCAAAGATGGCCCTGGTGCCATTCGTACAACACTGAACTGATTGCTCAACAGCTGATCTTTTCTCATTTCTCTTTCTTTAGGGGTGTCGGCTTGTTTGTTGGGGTAGATCTTGTGAAGGATCGGCAAAAAAGGACACCTGCCACTGCTGAGGCCCAGCATATTATCTACAAGTAAATGTTTTGGGTTACTTGAGTTCTTTTTTTCATTAGTTAGGCTTTACAGGAAGGGTGCACAAAGTGCAGCCCAGAGTCCACAGGTGCCCTTAAGGGCATTTTTTGCCCTCCCCCAACTCATCCAGTGCAAAACATTTTACTGTATGAAAAATGGAATTTTCCACTCCTAGAGCTCTCTGGGACTTGTGGCTTTTGCTTTAGGGAATTTTAGAGGGGTATTCCCAATACCTCTACCCCTCCCAAACAATCAAGTCTTTCCGGTTTTCCCCCTTTATTTGACTGGCTATTTCTCGGCCTGGTGTAGCTTGTGACAGGTGCTGGTGCTCTTCCCTGATAGGATTCTCCTATTTTGCTTATGTTGATTTGCTATGTTTAACTCAACCTGCCTATAAACAGGGAGGGATCTCATTTGGATCTTATAATCAATTTCTTGTCCTTTGTGACATTTTAATCATGGCTAAACCAGTGATGTCTTTTTAGCCCTGCAAATTTATTTATTGGATCAATGTGTGAAGAAGGGTAAATAAAGTCTTATGGAAGGCTTCTAAGACAGCCAGTTCTATGAAAAGTAGTATTTACTGGCCAATGTTTTTTCAAGTCGGATGAAGCTTTCCAGTTCCCCGGAGGCAGGAAGAACTTGATGAAATAGCACCGCCATCCAGATTGTTTTGTGCTTGAGAAGAGGCTTTTTTGCAAAGTGTTTTAGGGGTCCTTTTCATGTTTTTTTTTAAAAGCAGGAGTTGGGAGATGAGCTAGCCCTCTGAGGTTAAATCCCACTCCATTACAAAGCATTTGAACCAACTTGTATCACAGATTCTCCCAAATTCTCCACCTACCATTGCTATAGAATAGCATAGCAAAGGTGAGAATATGTGTTGGGGAACAACTCTCAATGGAATCATCCATGTAATGTGAGTAAGTATTGGGCTACTAATTTCTTAACATATCCATTAAATAAAATGTTGAGCATTCATCTAAAAGAAAAGGGCTTGTCCTTTCTGTATATGTTATAATTTGAAACTGGGATCCTTCTCAATTCACCCACAAGGTTGGAAGCAGCCATGTAATTTCATATGTCTGTTTCTGCATCTTAGCACTTGCATTAAAAATTAAATGTATGTTTCCATCTAATCAGGCTGAAAGAACAAAGGATTCTTCTGAGCGCAGATGGACCTTATAGAAACATACTGAAATTTAAACCACCGATGTGTTTCAGCATGGAAGATGCAAAACACGTAGTCAATCAAATTGATGAGATTCTCACAGGTAAACACTCTTGCTGGATTACAAGCTATAGATGTCTGTTAGCTTTCAAAGCCAGAGTGCAGGTTTTGTTCCATAGCTGTTGGTTAGATTTACCTAGGTTTAAAATTACAAATGCTGAGAGAGAGTTAATTCTATCTTGCAGCAGGGTTTAAAGCAGAGGCCAGATGGCCCCCTAACATGGATACTACAGGAAGGGACTTTCTTCTGCATTGGCAAGGAATTGGATTTGATCACCTTTGAGGTTCCAAAGTTAGCATTTTAAATGCTAACTTTTGCTTTACGCTTACATAACTTGTACTTCTTTTCTTTCTTGCCCTAGACTTAGAAGAAGTGACCACAAGCAATATTGGAAATGGATTACCTACAAGCACACACTGTAAACGAAAAGTAAGTTTCAAGCATCTAAGAGAAAAGCAGGCTCCATGGTTTCACATTGATTTAATCTAGTGCCATTGAACCCCAAAAGATATGGTCTTCTGTTTTTTGTTGTTTGATCACTTGTGATTATTTTTGGATCTTTCCTTGGACAGCATAACTTTGTGAGTGGTGAAATCATTAATAATGCCTAGGAGTATTACATAAACACAGAAATCACAGTGCTTCCAAGAAGGAATGAAGATGCTGCCTCACAGTTGGCTAGACCTTTAGATTTTTTTGGCAGCATTTCAAGATATAAATGCAAAAACAGAAGTGCTAACATCCTGAAACAGGATGGGCTGCATACCATCCCTGGATCACTTGTGCTCCACAGGCCATCTCTACACCCCCAGAGTTCCCTTCTTGACACCACATAATCCAAGCAACTATGTTAGGACACAGGGCATTTAGGGATCATAGTTTGTTTCCTAGCATGCTAGGAAGCAGCAGGCTGTAAGAGCATGATTCTGCATGGTGTGAGCTCCTGCCATAAAACCCTAGGCTTAACCACTGTGCTCTGATACTATCCTTAAACTAAGTCCAGGTAACAATGTTTGCTCATACAACTCCCTTGTTATTGCTGCCACTTTCATTTGTCTCTGTATTGATTTGTTAGACTTGCCTTTCACCTGTTTGCCTGTTGCCTCTCATCCTATTTACTGTATCATTTAAACATAGATTGTCTAACAATACATAACATTTTGATACCACTTAAACTATGACAGCTGCATCCTAAGGAATTCCGAGTTTTGTAATTTGGAGATACTTAGAATTTGCTGCTATCATTCAGAGCAGGACATTAGAGTTACCTAGCAGAGAATTCTAAACATCTCACCAAATGACAGACCCCAAGGATTCCAGAGGATTGAGCCCAGCAGTTATAATGGCTCTAAACAGCTACACTCTAAGGCTATAGCTACAGCATTGTAGATATAGCATTAGAGTCCCTGGTGGAACCTGCTGCTTGTATCTGTTGGTTCCTGAACACCATGTACATAGATAACAGTAAACTAGAAAAGCCATTGTGATGTAGTGAATAGACTAGGACTTAGGAGACTTGGATTCAAATTCATACTCAGTCATGGGTACTGACCAAGAAAGGAAAATGATTACCCACTCATTGAATGTGCCACATATCTCAAAAACCCGTTAGAGCCTGTTTCCTCTGCTGGCATAAATCAGCAGAGGGATCTCCTATTTTGGATTTGAGCTAAAGTCAAAAATGACTTGACAGCACATAACAAAAATCTAGAACTAAGAACGAACAGATCAGTCTGTTTCAATGTATGCTTCTTCCCATGTGTTCATTCATAATCTTGAGCCATCTTGTTTTTGCATGACTCCACAAATTTAAATAATAACCTGCATTTAAATAAATATTTAAATATACATTTCTTTTTCCAGCAAAGCTTGGGAAAGTAACCAAGGCTCACTGGCCCTGCAAGCTGGGGGGTTATGTGAGCAACAGTCCAGCAAAGTTACTTTGCCAAGCTTGGGTCTCACCATAGCGTAGAAGAATGTGGCGAAGGGACCTGTATTGCCACCTACCCAGTTTGAAGTTGAGGCATTGCAGAAGTTGTAATAATAATACAAAAAGCTTTTGCAAAATGTGTGTTTTTAACTATATTGTGAAATGCTTTCTTAAAGCAAAGAATTCTATTTCAGAAGCAGAAAACTGCAAAATTCAAAAAATGTCTAGCCCATGAGGTGCAGATTTGGCCAACTGGATCAGAATTTGCAAATTCTTGAATTCCTCAAAGGTTATAAACCAGGAATAAGAGGGGGTTCTATATTACTTACATTTATATGCCACCTTTACTTTTACAAGCTCAAGACATTCTGTGAGTTTCATGGCTGATCAGAGACTGCAGAACTCCCATATTCTAGTCTAACACTTTAACTGCTGCTACGCCACATGGGTTCTGTGTGTACAGAGCAAACCAAAGTAATGAATGCAAATTACAAGCATTGGATATTTTCCCCAGAAATATAGGAAGAATGTCTTGGTGGTAACAGCTGCTTGGCACTGGGATGGACTGCCTCAGAGGGTGGGTGGACTCAGCTTGACTGGAAGGTTTTAAAAAGAGGCCCACTAAAGGAATGTTTTAGTTCAGGTTTTTCTGCTTCAGAAGGCAGTTGAATGACTCTTGGGGTCCCATCCAGCTCTACAATTCTGTGATTCAATATACACTGATAATCAGCTTATTCACACTGTGCCTTGGCTTTAGACACCTACTGATGGGAGCAACCATGAAAGCAACAGCCATATCAACAGGAACAGATGCCGGCAAGAAAATGGGTTTTGCACTGAAGGACATAAAGTGCCTTGCAAAAGGATCCGGACATGAAGCACAACTTTCTGACGAGGAACAAGAATATATGATTGGGCGTGTTTAAGGATGAATGGATATTTCCTAAAATTAGATATGATACTACTAATAATATCTGGTGTAACTGTATTCATTTAACTAGTTTTAAAATTAGAGCCTGCTTGCATACAGCTAGCATAGCTGCCATTGTGTGAATTACCTTACTCAGATTTTGGCTGAGCTGTCATTTCGTGTTTGAAATTTCAGTATTCAGTGTTGAGAGGTTAATAATTTCCCATGTTTTAATGGCTGACACATTGCGCTGGCCAGCATTCTGCTGAGGTAGTTCATGCAAATGCTGAAATAAAATATTGTACAATTAAAATTTTATCTTGTAGAAATCACGTGCAAGTATCAAGTCGATTCCGATTTGCCGTGACCCTCACATGGTACAAAGTGCTTTGAAATTGTTTCCCAAACCTTTCTTCTGGTGGCTGTCTGGGACTGTGTAGATTGTCCAAGGCTGCACAGGTGAGAGGGCATGTAACCACTTTGCCACCCATGCTCTGGGATAACATTGGCTGGTTCCTTTCCTGGGCGTCACAGTGGGAATTTGAACTCCTGGGTCCACAGTCAGGTGCTCCAACCCACTAAGCTACACCAGCACATTTAAAATAAACTAGAATTTTAAAATCTGAATTCTTGTCATGGAATTCTTAATTGGAGGCGAGGAAAGAGTAAATATAATCCTCAATAATTCCCTGTCTTCTCAAAAGGATTTCAGCTTTTTTTGTTGTTTAGGACATACATACCTCTTACTTCCACATGGGGTTTCCTTCCACAGCTATAGGGATGTGAAAGGTGGTGATCTTGTTTCACATTGTTGAAGAATTTGATGATTCGCTGTATAATATGACTGAACTTTGCTGTCTTTTTAAGGACTGAAACTGTAAACTACTGGTGTATTTAGTTCTTTCTAGTTCTGTATATATGTTTTGTCTTTGCTCTTATCAGCATTCTTTATGAACTCTGATACAATGCCAGTTTATCATTTTCCAGTGGTCATTGTGCATTCTGGAGAATAAAGCTATTTTTAACCTCTGAAGCTTCATGTTTCGAAATGATTAATTTTCCATCGGTATGCAATAATTGCTTGGTAAGGTGGTTTTCTTTTGGGGGGTTGATCATTGCCCTCGTTTACTCATCTCAGACTATACTTAGTTATAAATTAACATGAATAATGTATACAGATATCACTTTCTGGGAGAGGAGAAATAACAGTTCAGAGGTCACTCTTGCAAACACATATTGCTGAGCATCAGCATATTGAATAGCACAGGTGGTGTAGCAAGGTTGTATGGGATTTTTTTTCAAACTTTAAAAGAAGATTTCATTACTTACAGTATCTTTCTATACAGAGCTGTGTGTCACTTCAGGCTGCCTGCCAGCTGCATGTGCCATCTTCTTTGTTACCCCATTCTGTTCATCTTTCCACCATGTCTTCCTGCTCCCTTCCATTGCCAACACTCAACATTCTGTTCCCATTCAGCTGCCTTTGAGGTCTCTCTACCCCCATCTTTAGGAGTTTCAAATGTCCAGCTTTAGGAGTTTCAAGTGTCTGTAAAATTGGGGGATGAATCCAATTCTTGTCCCAACTTGTGTACACTTGTTGAAATGGATAACACAAGTTTTGACTAAGCTGGGACTAAAATTACACCCAAGTTTAGGCCAAACAAAAGTAGACTATCTTCCTCTAAGGTTTGTGCGTATAGGAAGAATGGGGAACCTCTTTCAACCTCATGGCTGAATTCCATTTCAGAGATGTGAAAGGGGAAGTGCATTCCATCAAGGCCAAGGATAGAAGGGTGGGAAAAGTAAGGGGAAATATTTAGAGCTTTCAAAATGTAAAAGAAATGTGCAAACACTGGGAAATAACCAGAGGCTGGATGTCGACATGTCTCTACTGGCTTTGCACGTTGCACATCTAAACAATGGTGTTATATTGCATAAAAATCAGGTTCTTAAGCCAATAGGTTATTTCCCCCATCTATTTCACTTTGAATTATCAACTGCACCAACATTTACTTTCAGTTTTCGACCACAGTATTCTGCTTCTTTGCATTTTATATATTGTATTAATTCTTGGTCATTATTCACTCACTTTAGAACCTCTTTGTTGATCACTCTCTTGAGCCAAGAAATTCTTAACATACTACAATAAGTCCACATTTCATATGCTTCCATCTTTAACTGTGTAAGTCATAATTCCAGGTCATACAGTAGAACCAAGAGTACATCATACAGTCAAAGTCAATTTTACAAATTTCTTTGCATATTACAAGCTTCAACTAAAGAGGAAAATACTACATTCTTAAACTTAGGCTGCTCCAAGCCATCTCTATTCTGATATTTCCTGTGTGGCTATCTTGGTAATGTTCATTCAATCATGTTCAGGGTATTTAACGTTTGCCAATCCACTTTACAGTTTCATTTTGGATCTTTAACCAAAGACAAAGAAAAGTTCGGATACTTTGTTCTCATGCCTGAATTTCAAGACAAGCAAGGACTAGTAATGGCTTTTGGGTAGGCAGGATTATAGAGAGGAAAAAGAACATCAAGACAAACACATCTCCCACCTCTATGCCACAGTGGTGCCTCACATAGCGACAATAATCCGTGCAGCAAAAATCACTGCAAAGCGATTTCGTTGTTATGCGATATTAAAAAGCCATAGGAATGCATTGAAACCCCTTCAATGCATTCCTATGGGCTTCAGACTCACTTTTAAGCGAAAATCCTCCATATCGCTGCCTGGTAAGTGAGAAATCCGTCCCAGAAAATAGCAGGCGGCCGCCAATCAGCTGTTAAAAATCATAGCTTTGCGATGATCGGTAAGCGGAACAGGGTACTGATCATCACAAAGCGATTTTTCCCCATTTAAAACATCGCAAAGCGATCACAAAAAGTTAATCGCTATGCGATTTCATCGTTAAACGGGGCGCCCGTTAAGCAAGGCACCACTGTATTTTGATCAATACTCGACACCCTCATGGTGATTCAGAACACACACACACAGAGAGAAACATGTATCAGATTTCTGTCACAGATCAGTCTCTACCCTATTTTGGCCCTGAGGTGAACGACTAGCTGGTGACCTCCAGGCATCTTGCACTATAACTTTCATTTTTCTTTCCAGAAATTGGTGTGGGTGGCTGGGGATAATGGGAGCTGTAGTTGAACATGCCTTGAGGTCAATGGAGTAGGAAAGCCTGTTTCTTGAGTCTTATGGCCACATTCTCACTAACTCCCATGTTTCTTCGGCAGGAATTTGAAAAGCCATTGAACAGAAGGCAGTGTTAATCATGTTACAACATTTCCTGTTGTAATCTACCATTTAATTTAATTTAAACCTGGGCTGGAAGTATTCCAAAAGAATTGCAAAATGTAACATCTAGACTTTAACAGTAGATTTCTAACATTTCAGGGTCCCATTCTGAGTTACAGCAATTGCAGAAAGATGCCAGGGATTGCCCTTGTGCTTGTAATGCAACAAGTGATCTGCTGACCTAGTTTGCAGTTTTATATTTATCAGCCTTCTTAAGAAATATAATCAAAGGGCAAGGTCAGGCGGGGGGGGGAATATGCTTACCGCATTGGAAAAGGAATGCCCAGAGAGGTCAAGCTGGTCTGCTGCTTCAGATGTTGTTGAAATAATGATTATCATTATCGTAGAACTGCAGAGCTGGAAGGGACCCTATGGATCATCAGGTCCAGCCCCTGTCAAAAGGCACAGTGGGGAATCAAACTCCTAATCTCTCGCTCTGCATCCAGATACCTAAACCACTGAGTGTATGGATTAACAACATGAAAGACAAAGCAGACATTTTTTTCAAGCAAAAAGCAATCACGTTCTAAAGGCAGTTAGTTATTAAATCAGTTTGAATTCTGATCTCCCATCAACTGAAAACGTGGTTCAGTTTGACAGTATTTTGCTCCAAATTTGCTCCCTGGTTATGTTTAGGATGGCTACCAATGCTTCAGCAAAAGGAAGCATAAAGGTAAATGCTAATTTGCATACGTGTACATGATCATTTTTGTGTGTGTGTTACGTGCTGTCAGTCACATCTGACTTCTGGTGACCCTAACAGGATTTTCAAGATATCTCAGATACTCAAGGAGTGGCTTACTATTTCCAACCCCACCTCACCTGCAATGAGTTTCCATGGCCAGGTGGAGATCTGAACACAGCTTGCCTGATTCATAGCCTGTCCACTACACATCACAGTTTTTATGTGCAGGTGCAAAATGACAGATGATTTTTATAATCTAAACAGAATCACAATTCCTCTCACTTGAGTAAGGAAGACTGATCAGGCAATTTACATGCCTTCAGGGTCTGCTGTGTAAGTAGTTGCTATGGATGAGCAAATTCAAAGTTTGTGATCTTTCTCCTAAGGGTTCTTCAATTCAGAGATGAATGGAACATGTCTTCAAATGCAAGACACCTTCAAAAGGTAAATAGCCCTTCAAATGAAGGACCACCCTCCCTGAAAGAAGACACGTGGCCACCCTAACATATGCTTGGAAAGCTAGTTACTCAAAATGGCCAATCAAATTAATGGGTTGCATACAGGTGTATGCAGTCCTGCTATCCATTCTCTATGGCAATCACTGCCATCCTTGAGTAAATGTTATAACATCCTGCCTTGTTTTACTTAAGACCTTGGTAATAGACATGCTGATCATTCCTGCTGCTGTATCTGAGCTTCTCCAGTAATAGTCACCTCCTGCCAACTATGTCTTGCTTACAGCATGAGGCAAACAACCAGCTCGGATTCTTCCGAGAATGGATATCTGCCATGTCTAAAACCTTAGATGAACCTAAATGTTTTCCCTATTAAACTGGTGGCCCAGTTTCAGAGAAGACACAGTAAACAACTGCTTGAATTCTAGATTGCAATTAGTCACAGATTTGCAGAGACACACACATACTTTTTAAATGTCTCTTCTTACAATAACAAAAATAGTTCAGAGTTCTGCAAGTTGCATATTAATCGCACAGATAACTTGACTGCTGTAAAACCGGCAAAAACTGACAGAATCTTATGGCACACCAAAAACTGATGAGTTTTGTTTGGCATGAGCTTTTGTGAACTGCAACCAACTTCTTCAATGCAGAAATGGAAAACAGTTCGTGGCAACTGTGTTGTACCAAATAAAACCAATTGGAGTGCAATCCTAACTAACCAAGATGGCTGAGCTGAGGCCAGCTGAGCCAATGCTAGTCTGGCTGAAGTTGTGATAAATCCAAATCCTACCCAAGCAAGAGATGTTGGGAATTACATTGGGCTACCCCGCATCTTGTCCTAACTATGCTGGTATAGTAGCTGGTGTCCCTGGACTGGAGAAGGTCTTGGATCTGGCACAACTTGGTTCCTCCCTTCTTCTGCTTATTCCAAACTCCCTACAGCCGGCACATCTTTAAGCTTAGATTGCACTGCATGTCTTTAAGATGCCCAAAGATGCTTTGTTGTAACATACTACAGCCTAATGCAGCTGTCCCTAGGCAATATCTGCATTGATTTTATTGTCTCTCAGGACTGATAACCCACCCACCCCCAAGACAAGAGTTCTAACTCCTGGCCTCTGAAGATGCTGGCCACAGAGACTGGCGAAACATTAGGAAGAAAAACTTCCAGAACACGGCCAAACAGCCTGAAAAACCTACAACAACCATCAGATCCCAGCTGTGAAAGCGTTCAAGAACACCTCCCATTGGCTAAAATGGCATGAGATCTATGCTCCTGTGTTTGTTGGCTACTTGGCTTCCTAGTATAAATGCAGCTGTGGGAGGACTGATTCAGACCAAAGTGAAGGAGATGGGAGGAATTATTTCCTTTCCCCATGTCCGTTACCTGACTGTTAATTATTTCCCACCTCCACTCCTTCAAAGTGGCAGGCAAAGGTGTTTTTGTTCAAGCAGACCTTTGGCAATTGAAATGACTTCTTGTTCTCTCTCTCTCTCTCTCTCTCTTTCTATCTCTCTCTGTGTATTTTTGTTACTGGTGGGTTTTTAAGCTGGGTTTTGCATTT